TTTATTTACATAAAAATTAATTAATTTATGTATGATATATAAAATATCATGGTTAATAAAATAGTAAACTACGATTTTTATTCTTTTTGTTTAAAAAATTATGGTTTTGAAATTACGATTTTCGTATTTATGATTTGTAATTTTTAATGTTTTCGTCCATAAGATTAAATATGTTAAACTCCTGCATTAACTTACGGGTATTTTAGTTACTTTGATTTATTTTTCTTTTTTAGTTTATTAAATATATATTTTTGTTTCTTTTTTAATATCTAATCTTTTTGATTTAAGAAAACTACATCTTTTTTGATAAAAAAAACTATATTATTTTGTTATTATTTATGATAAAATAATTAAAATATTTTTAATACGACTATTTTTTTTATCATTATAGTTTTAGATTTTATGAGTTTGATTTATGCCACTAACATCGTTTTTATTTTAAAAGAATATTTTAATTCCTTTTTATTCATTAGATACCAAAATATTATATTTTTATAGGACCAAATAAATGTATGTAATTATTATTAATAGGCTGTATAATTGTTTGGTTATTCAGTTATACCAAACAAATATATGTTTTATATAAACGTGTTACAATAAGATTATAAGTTATACGTTCTATTATATAATCACATACATATACAATATATATTTGGTAAAAATGGCCTATAAAAATTAATTGTTTAGTCTCCAAAGAAGGAAAAAAAAATTATATACCATCATGTGAAGGGTACTCAATGACTTGCATTTGAATGACGTTAGTGACTGAAATCGAACTAATAAAAAATTAAAAATATAATGACCAAAAATGTGAAACAACGGATTGTATGAAAGATATATATTTTTTTAATCATAAATGAGAACAAAATAATCTAATTTTTTATGTATTAATTCTTTTAAAATATATATATATACACACACTAGGTTTGGACCCGTGTATTACACGGGTTAATGACAAAAATTAAACAAAACTGATATGTATTTTATAAAGAATTAATAATCGGAGATAATTTATAAACTTAGACAAAAGTACAAGTCCGATTAAATTTTTGATATAAAGATGCTCTTACTCGAAAATTAAATGTTACATATACAAAGGACGACATGTGCTTCGATGATCAGAAAAACTTCTAAATGAAGATGAACAATGTAGATCCAATATGCAGCGTTGCGTAGTACATGCAGAGCATTTGTATACCTCTGTATGAGACAAATGAAATGGAGAGACAGAGCCTCGACGCATTACGTGAAGAGACAGAGTTCTTTCTCAAGACTTAAATGCAGAACCTCTGTGCAGCGCTGCATGAAACACGGAGTCTGGTTCAGATTGACCGCATAACACGTGCATAACCTCTGTTAAGCTCTGTATGAAGGACGGAATCAGGCTTGACAAATACAAGGGCTAAGAAATCCTCCAGAGTTCACGATAGGCAATATCTAGCGTTGCATGACTTCTAAATCAAGACGACCAATCTGGCTACAAGTGTGAAGTTCTTTTCAAGTGTTAATTGCTAAAATTAGCCAATGCTACAAGTTTGTATAAATTTTCCGTTGTCTTAGAAATAAACCAACTTTTGATAATGATTGTCCTTGGCTCTTATTAAATGAGAAAAACTCTGGACATTAACTCTGAAAGAAAACTCTGAAACACAAGAATTCGGAATTTTATTGTTAGAATGGAAAATAACTCTGGACTTAACTCTGAATAAGAAGAATTCAGAGTTGTCTTCTAAGTCTAGAAAGTATCTACGAGCATAACTCTGAGTCACAAGAATTTTGATTTCTTATAACTCATAAACGTAACTCTGAAGAGGAGTTTAGAGTTGTATTCTAAATTTGAAAATAAACTACATAACTAAGTTTGGAACAGAACAATTCAGAGTTATGTTGTAAGTCTGAGAAATAACCAATATCTGATGACTTCATGTTGATGATTTGTATCACTAATGTCATTTAAGTGTAATGGGATTAAATTGTTGACCAATGTAATCATGATAAATATTGAACAGGTAAGGCAGGTGCGGAGTGCACACTTGTTTGAGTTTATTTTGATTTAGGGACGAAGCCCCTAACAAAAGGGGTCCGAGGGCAGCGCCCCCGGTGGCGGGGTCCAAGGGGTGGCAGCCCCTGGCGGGGTCCAAGGGGCAGAGCCCCTGGCTGGGGTCGATCAACAACCGTCGTACAGAAACGTGACACGTGTCCCCAAAGTTAATTTATTTATTAATATTATAGATGTGTGTGTATAATAATTAATTAAGTACTAAGAGTACATGTTCTTCTAAATTTTTTTCCCGGATAATATTGCTTTGTGAAAAATGCTTCAAAAATTCACGGAAAATTTTTTTCCCGTGAATTTTTCCAGAGTTATGTTGTAAGTCTAGGGGTCGAAAGTGAAAATTGTGTTTTAGGCGGGAAAAATCAACAACCGTCGTACAGAAACGTGACACGTAATCCCCAAAGTTACTTATTTATTAGTATTATAGATGTGTGTGTGTATAAATTAATTAACTTTATATTGTTATTAATTAATAAGGTATTAGTATTCTTTTAATAATTATATAAATTAATTAAATTCACATTATTATTAATTAATTAATTAACTAAGTACACGTGTCCCCAAAATTACTTATTTATTAGGTATATANGTATATAAATGTTATTAACATTATGTTATTATTAATTAATAAGGTATTAATATTCTTTTAATAACTATATAAATTAATTAAATTCACATTATTATTAATTAATTAAGTACTAAGAGTACATATTTTTCTAAATTTTTTTCCCGGGTAATATTGCTTTGTGAAAAATGCTTCAAAAAATCACGGGAATTTTTTTTCTCGTAAATTTTCCAGAGTTATGTTGTAAGTCTGGAGGCCGAAAGTGAAAATTGTGTTTTAGGCGAGAAAAATCAACAACCGTCGCACAAAAACGTGACACGTATCCCCAAAGTTACTTATTTATTAGTATTATAGATATATATATATATATATATAGTTTGATTAAATTTAAAAGACCAAAACTACCAAAAAAGATTTTAATAAACCAAAATTAAAAAAATTGTAAAAGACTAAAATACCCTTAAGGTTATAAATGAAACATTTTTAATAGATTTAGTTTTAGAGACGAAATCAACAATAAAATTATAAACCATGGAGATGTAAAACAATAACAAATTACAAATCATAAAGACGAAAAATCGAGACTTCAAAACCATAAAGACGAAAATAGCAATCTTTCACAAACCACGTGGACGAAATTCATACTAATAAAAACCTTAACAATTAATGAAGTAGAAAGTAAATGAAGTGCAAAATGACAAAAGGGTAGAATAGGTATTTAAGAATTGTGAATTCAGGTAGTTAGAACAAATTTATGTGGAAGGGTGAATTGCATGAATCTTTTATGTCTCCAAAGAGACCAAAAATGTCATTACCATAAAACAAAAGTAGTTAAGAAAAATTAGGTTTATAGAATGTTATCGAAGTTTAAGGGGGTGTTTCTTTATCTCTTAATAGTCAACTTTTGAATAATTGAGAGGTGAATCTTGTTTGATAAAAAAAAATGTCTCATAATGGTCCTAAAACTCTCTGAATGGTTTTGTATCATGGGTCTCCCATAACTATTTAGTGCCTTAATTTCATCGTAAATAATTATATTTCATTTTTCACTATATCATGAGTCTCTTAATCATTTTGCACTAAATCATTCAGCAACTGCCAAACAGCCCCTAAGCGTTTTAATAGATCACTTTATATGACTTAATTTATATGAACAAAATGTTCTATTTAAATGTGTTGTAATAAATTTATGAAATTTTTTTTGGCATATTAAGACGTTTTTAGGACACTTTTAATAGTAGACGTCATATTAGTAATTTTACAAGACACTATTTAGAAAAACGTTCTATAAAACAAGTGTCATATAAAAAGACGGGTTTATAAAAAAAAATTCTTAAAAGTGTCTTATAAAATTGTTAATGTGACAATTTTTTATTAAAAGTGTCCTGAAAAACTCGTTAGGATGCCCAAACGCGTTCTATAAATTGATGGCATCCTATAAACTCAATTTTGTTATAGTGAAAATTTTGTTCTAACTACTTATTTATATGCGTTGATAAACTTGAATCTTGTGTAAGAGGGGCTGATCTATAAAGCCCTAAGCGGGTGCACAACTTATTTATTTCTATGGTATGTAAAATGCACCTGTTAAATTATGAGGTGTTTTAGAATAATACAAGAGACATCAAACAAATAACCAAAAAAAGTATTTCTAAATCAATTAAAAAGCGAAAAGTCTCTCAAAATCAAACAAAAAACCAAAAAAACCCTCCAAATCAGCCAAAAAAACTTTAAATTTTTTTCTTCAAACGATGGAATTTGCTAAAAAACGCACCGTAAAACTTTACAGGATGGTATTTAATCCAACTTAAAGGTGTATCAGTCGGCATCAATCGGAAAAAATTACTGAGTCGAGTGTTGATCGAGTCTCTTTGTGTTGGTTAAACATGAAATATGTATAAATAAAAATGAAAAGGAAGTGGTTGAAAAACATTAAAGAAAGGTTTTTGTAACATGCAGGGACAGAAAAGTCATTTTCTATCTACCATTCTCGAGAGCCCCGGCCCCCAGCCCTTCTTCTCTCCTTCTTCCTCTTAACCGAAAATGACTGCAAGCAACCTGTGGTCGACCTGTACATATCCTTCACACGTTTACACCCACCCACACCCACACCCACACGTGTGTGTATCTATCCCTTCCCCCCCCGCCCTCTCTCTCTCTATATGTATATATATCTCTCTCTCTATGTATCTATATATTTTGTGATTTGTATATATATATATACACACACACACACCGCCTCTCTCACGCCATATAATCTTCTTCTTTAAGTCTCTCTCTCTCTCTCTCTCTCTATATATGTATATATATCTGCAAGTGAGAGAAATAGGGTTTGTAAGCAAGAAATGATGGATGCTGAAAGAGTGTGTTGTATGTGTGGCGACGTCGGCTTTCCGGACAAGATTTTCCGATGCATCAAATGTCACCACCGCTTCCAACACTCGTATGTCTCCTCCACCACCCACAACCACCGTCTCTCTCTCTCTCTCTCTCTCTTACGTACAATTAGGGTTTATTTGTATTTAATAACATGCATCTTTATTGAATTCACGCAAATGTGTTGCAACCCCCCTCTCTCTCTCTCTCTCTCTTATATATAAAACACACACCACTTTCACCGCCACCGCCGCTGTCTCCGCCACCGCCGCTGTCTCCGCCACCACCGCCCCCATATATCCTTAACTATTCATTTACGTGAAGATTCAAATTCTGAATTAAAAAAATAGAAAGCTGAATGATTAATCTGTTTTTAATTCATGTTGGCTCGATCTTTGTGTGTGTGGTTTATATTCATCTCAACTATCAAACTACTTTTCTTTTTCTTCGTTGTTAAGAGTCATAATCAGACTTAAAGACCTTCAATTAATTATCTTTAAATTAAAATTCAATACATAAATTGTTGTTATTATTAATTCTGATAGTAAATGGTTCATTCAGCACTTTAGCTCTTAACCGACGTCTTATTAATATGTAGAAACTTAATATATATATATATATATATACACACACACACACATATAAATGTATATATATATATATATACCATATTAAATTAGGAAGGCTATATATGTTATAAGTTCTGGCAATCTTGTTGTATATCCTTGAAGCTAATTTCTTGGCAAGTGGGATCATATTTAATTTGTTCAATCTATAATTATTCTTAATCTTGATCTTATTTCTTTGTTTAATTAATTTCGTGGTGCTTTGATTAATTGCAGGTATTGTAGCAACAACTACAGTGAATCATCGGAGCCGACGGAGCTCTGTGACTGGTGCCAAACGGACGAAACCCAAACCTCCAAACACTCTGGTTCTTCCAAGAAACCAAGCTCAAAATCCGATGCCCGAATCAGCAATCGATCGGAATATTCAGACGACAAGATCAAGCAACACGATCGTGAAGAGGGTGGTTCGGAGAAAGGGAAGTCACCCACCGGAGCTCCTTCTCCGAGGACTAGTACTCGAAGGTACAAGCTTCTCAAGGATGTCATGTGTTAAAATATATAAATATAAATAAATATAATAAAAATGCAAAAAAGAAAATAGAGACGTGGGGTGGGGGTGGCAGCAGAGAGGGCTTGTTTGTTATACATAATAGCCATCCTTTACAAGAGTATGCAAAAGTGTTATTTGTTTGACTAGAGAAATTGTTGTGCTTTTAATTTTGTGGTATATGGTCCTCTACAACTTGTCATATATATATATATATATATATATATATATATATATATATATATATA